CATGAGAACCACGCATGATAGTGGACCGAACTCGAAATCTTAAAGTTGTACGTAGGTTAGGAGTATCCCCTTAAAATTCAGTCTTCCAGCTTTCTGTTTCCAGAGTTAGTGATTTTCTCACCAAAACTTTCACATGCTCGTATGCGGGGACCAGACGGGCTGAAGGCTGATGCCGCGATCGTGGAATGACCATAGGCTGGAAACCCACTGGTAAAATTTTGGTTCCAGAGCTTGCTTGGTTGCTGAGTTGAAATGCTGGGACAGACGCATAGACACACACGCAAACATATACAAACATGCACACCGTGGGTCGTCGCAATATGCGTTTTTGCTGTGCAGTACAGCCAGCAAAAACGCATATTGTCGAGAGGCTGTGTGTGCGTGTGCATGTGTTCTCAGAAGCGAGTGGATTTTGTCACCCACTTTCATCTCAGCAATCAGGGAATCTGGAAGGCTGAAACTTTGGGTGTATGTTCCTACCTCGTGTGTCATCCTCCCGTTTTAAGATGCTCCCCCGCACGCGCCTAGACCCGCGTACAGGCCCCCAAAAAAATATGCTGGTGGACAACGATTTCGCGAACCAGGTAAGGTAAAAGCTGAAACTTTGCAAGGATAATATCTAAGCACATGTCAGCTAAAGATTTTAAACTCAGCTGTAGAGCACCCCAACCACAGTCTCAGGCAGCTCCTTAACTCAAAAATCGTTAAGAAATCCATCGCATCCCGAACCCGAACCCAGTCGTATATGAACATTAGTTAATTTGCACAGATGGATTTTTTGACAAACGACCACTCGAGCAATAATTCCACTTTTTAGTGAATTGGAAATTTGCATTTTTTCAAAAGATTCGCATTCGTCATTTTTTTACAAAGCGAGCACTTACCGAAAAGACGACCGGACTTCATTCAAAAAACCGATAATCATGCACCTGGATGTCCGTATGGCTGTATAATGCACCACCTTCATCTCAACTGATGCCCTTTCTCCTGTATGCCGGAAAGAGTTAAAGCACGGCAATATGAGCCCAAGTGTTAGGCTACAGCGTAGGGATCATTCCTGCTAATAACGATCTACGAGTTTAGTGCAAAAGCGCATGGTTGCACCGAAGAGCCTGGTGCGTTCCAGCCTGGGTTGCATTTGCATACGTGTAAAAATACATAGTCATTATGAAATGCAGTATCTAACAACGCGAATATCTGGATTTGACGATTCGGTTCGATGTCTTATTCGTGTTTTTTACTGACTGGTTAAGATTCTTCTGCTACTTTGACTAAAATTTAGTAGAATCAGGATTCCTGAGAAAAGATAACATGAATGGAAGAGGAAATATGGTTTAAGAGATATCCAGTACCGCAAAAACAGATTTTAACAGGTCCAAAGTTATGTAGTAAGCGAATAAAAATTAATTCCTTTTCAGACGCTTCTTCAAACAGCATCTTGTATTTTTCATCGTTTGATAAGCCTTAAATTGAAACTGTTTTATGCAGCTAAATCAGACTGGAACAGATCGAACAAATAGCTATGTTGGTGTCATAAGCATTAATTCGAATTAATGCTCTGGCACCGCAAACTGATTCTTGAAATTGGCTCCTGCGACAGGTACCACAGCTTCCATATTTAGCATAGCTGCATTCTGGACTTTGGTTGCTTAGAACTTTTACAGTTACTACATTTTGTTAGAACGCTTGTTTTGAGTAACCATTGCAACGTTGGAGAAAATATTGTTGCTAGTATTATTACCACTATTATTGTTATAATAATAATAATGATAATAATAACAACAATAATAATAATTAATAATAATAATTATTATTATTCGGGTGGCATCGAATATCAAGGGAAAGTACTCGTTATGGAAGCTGTTGACGGTTCTCTCTTTCGCGAGCTGCTTAATAAAGAACTTATGCCGCGAGGATGACTTTATTAGTGAGAAAAGTGCATCCTAACGGTTACCACAAACATTCGCAATAGACTGCGATTAAAATGGAAAAACAGGTTGGTCGCCGTATCTTTGGCAAACAACACCAGTGTACGGTGTCCAAGCATGTTCGCAACCAGCATCATTCCACAGGGCAAAAAGATTGTCAAAGTCCACCAGAACGCAGGTCATATTGAAACCACAGCAACCATCCGGTTGCAATGGGCCCCAGTTTGTAAATTTTGCTGGTTCATGTCCGAAATGCCGATAACCATGGGATGCAGCGGCAGCTCTATCCTGTGATGGTGCCATCCAGGAACCATTGATCTTGTGAATACCAATCCAGTATGGAGCAGCGTTCATTCCACCATTTGTGAAAATATCTAAAAATTTTAAAACAAATCTACTGCAAACAGATGAGTGCAAATTCTTCCCAGTGAAGAAACTCCAGTAAATTTTGAAATTAAAATTACAAAAAATGCTAAGATCACCCCCGACAATCGATACATAGTGATGTTACTGGGATATTCCCTACACGCCAAGCGCATCTATGCCAGGTCCTTCAGTTTAGAGCTGTATACGTCGAATTGGTGCTTACTACATCTCTAATATTAAAAAAAAAG